AGAGTCTGTAAGAGGGTCAGACTGTGACAAGAGCTTTAAGAGGGCGTCTGAAAGGTAGCCTGCTTTCACCACGCATGAGCACATCTATCAGCTCTAGAGCTGGGATGCAGGCAATGTAGCCAAAGCCAAGTGAGCTTCCTCCTCAGTTTTGTCAGTCCACCAATCAAGGGCATTCTTACTGCTTCGCATTTACCTGTCCTGTACCCAGCCCTGTCCATTGACCCAGTCCCTGTTCACACACCAAGACCTGTTTCATTTTTTCCATAACTCTTCCGCTTCTCCTAACCTGGACAATCCCCCCTCGCCAGACTTTGGACGCTCCATGTTTGTTTTGGAGCTTGCTTTATTGTCCTGATTCCCCTCAGATAGGAAGATGGAGGCTGGAAACTATACTTGCTGACCAGGCTAAATAACAGAAGTCACAGTAGGTTAGGATGGTGCTAACTCCCTCACAGGCATTTTTCTGCCTTCTGCCTTCTGCCTTCTGCCCACTCCTGCCTCCTGTCAGTGTCGTCCCCACAGCTCGGTCCTCTCTTCTCCACAGCACCAGTGGTTTCAGTTCAGTTGCTACCAAGCCCTCCCCATGGTCCTTTCTCAAAACCTAATTTTCTGATGGAACCTTTCCCACGGGGTCCAATTAGTCCTGGGCTAGGTAATAAAGAAGAAGACGATAATGAGTCTCAAGCAGTCTTTTGGTCATCCTAGTTTGGGTCACCCTCATCCATGTAAATACAAATCATCTCAAATGCTGTGGATGTCACTGACGAAAAGGAACACTTAGTTGCTGTCTAGGACAGCAAGCTGGGAGGCAAGCTAGCAGCCCGGCAGATGATCTGTTTTTATAACCCAAATTGCCCCACATGAGCTCCTCCTCCAGGGACCAGAAGCTCTCCCACATCACTGGGGCTTGTACTTGGAGATACACTTGCTTATTTACAGGCGTACAGCACAGTGCCAAGCCTTACTCTGAGCTGGCTCTGCCTGAAGTTTCAGCCTGGCCATTAAAAAGGAAAGGTGGTTTCAAAGGCATTCAGAGAGCAATGAAAGGAGCAGGCTGTCTCATGACTTACACCAAATGTGTATGTGCACACGTGTTTGTATGTATATGTGGTGTTTGCTCATACGTGCACTTCCTCATACAACGAGAAACTAAAAGACAGAGAGAATCAGGTCTGAGCTGAGTACACAAAGCTTTTCAATTTCAAAGAAGTCAGAAAAGGGAAGCTTCAAGTCTTCAAGACACTATGCCCTGGTGTTTAGAGGGTTGACCATCAGAGTTAATGGTTTTTTCTTTTGTTGTTTTCCTGTCTTTTACACCACAATCTGAGATAGAAGCTTTCTGAACTCTATTCTGACAACCACCTTACGAGAGAGGCCTGCCTCTGTATCCCCACTTTATAGATGGGGAAACTGTGGGTTAAGGGATTAATTCGTTTGCCTAAGATTATCTAACGAAGGAATAATAAAGCCAAGATTCAAAGTCAAGTTTCTCCGACAAGTAAACACAAATTTTACCTTATAGGACAGAAGAAAAATCTAAAATGTTTATGGAAATAAAAAAAAAGGACAGCACCCGAGAATGCATGCGGGTGCATACACTGAGCTGGACCCTGTTTGCTGCTCATCTCGCAACTCAAAACCAGCCCAAGCCAGATTGCAGGCTCCTGAAGGCCCACATATCAACCTGGAATCAGGCAAGGAAACACAGGCTTGTCTGAGGCAGAGGCATGACTCTCTGGAAGGGGCCAGGCCAGGAAGGTTCCTAGAGAAGCCCATGCCCACATCTGGCCACATTTGGATGATAATGAGAATCAAGCTGAGGAAGCCCTTCTAACCATAAGACCAGAGGTGACTCGGTATAACTGCAGGTCAGAGGAGACACTAATTCAATGCAGAGGAAAGTTGGGACCCTTGTGCCTCAGTCAGAGAAGTGACCCCTAAGGGCCAGCACCACAGGAGTCCACAGCGCCATTCAGGACAGGTATTGAGTGTGTAATATTGTGCAGCATTCAAAGGTGGCTTTGAGTCTGTGGCTGAAAGGACAAGGCTGCTCCCTTAAGCCAAAACACTGGTTTGCACAGATACAAGCAAGTTCTGATTCCCCACCCCACACCCAGCTTGCTCACATGCCAGGTGAGACTGTAGTAACTGCACTCAAGGACTGTACTCAAGGACCTCTCTGCTGGGAGTCTGGCAACTAGAAAGAGAATGGATACTGAGCTCTTGATGCTGTGAGGTCACTGGCACTTTACCGCATGGCCCTTCAGGTGACTGGCTTCCTGGAGTTCATTGTCTTTCTCTTGGCTAAGTTGTGCCCCTCTCTAGAATGGTTTCCAGTATATATAAGCTGGTCTTTTCAAGAAATCTGAGAAGGGTTTGACTTTTTCGTCCTATCCTAGGCGTAGGAGGGTAAGGAAGCAGGCGCTAACTACCCAGTCTGTGTATTGTTTCTGAACTGGAACATGGTTGCACTGCAAGGTCAACTATTGGTAAAAACCCCCAACAACTGGCAGCTTCTGGGTCTTCTGCAGCAAGAAGGGAGAACACATTGCTATCCAGACACACCATCTTACAGGGGTTCACGGCCAAGAGAGCACTTCCAAACAGTTGTCCAGAGTGTGTGTAGTACAACTCAGAGGGTGTGTACAACTCAGAGGCTGCTTACAACTCAGAGACTGTGTACGACCCAGACAGGCCGCTCCATGCTCGTTCCCAGCTGTCTTCTTTCTGCCTGTGCTAGGAAGTGCATTGAGAAAGAAAGCGATCTCTCTGTTCAGTCCCTCTCACGGGCCCATCTTCTCTTTCTTGATGATGGGGATTGAAATGATAGGAACCTCAAAGACATCCATGTCAGAGACACAGACACAGACCACACAGTTTTATTGTCCCTCTCAAATATTCCTCGGGGATTATATGGTTTAGAAATATAAAATTTAAATGCACTGAAATAAGGAATGTCTGTCCTGTAAATATCAGCTCAACTGTTATAATAAATGTCTGCTGTAACCAAATATTACTCGTCTCAAAATAAATAAATAAATAGCAAATGGTGCTCTTTGCAGCCTCCTCGTGGTTGGAAGGGGAACGACAAGAAGAATTCAGAGAGTAGCTCTCATTCTCATGGCCCATAAACTCTTACAGTAGAACAACAAAAAGCTTGGCTTTAACCATGAAATAGATATGTTCTAAGTGAAGAAAATAAACGAACTTAGTTATTATATATTCTATATATAATAACTAAGATTATATATGTATAACACACACAGAGCCACACTCTAGATCAGTGGAAGCCTGCATTGCCGCTGATTTACTTTGTCTCCCTAGTCTCTGATTTCCCACTCTCACCGAACAACTAAGCAACTTGTTACACACAAGGAGCTCTCTTCTCAAATGACTTCTTCCCTGGTCTTTTCTTACTGTGAGCTCCCTACCCTCTTTGTCGACAAGGGCTTATAAAGATGCCACTTACTCTGCCACAAAGTGGTTGATAGCCCCAGAATAAAGGAATCTGCCTGCCTATCAAAGTGTGTGTACTGGGAGGAGAGAAAACCATTTGGACGTTCGTTGTTTTCTTTATTCTTATTGCAGCGTATCACATTGGTCCCTTTATACAGACATACACTTTCTAAAAGGCATTTTCGTGATGGTCTTTTCAAAGACGAAACTCCTTGTTAGGAATGGTAGGGTGGATGTTAGAAGGACGCTGCTGTATAAAACTTTTTCATATTATGCCACCAAAATTTAATAAATGAAAAGAATAGAAGTATCTGCCATCTCTAATTTATCACTTGCAAATGACAGGCAGGGCAGTTCTCAAAACCCAGACAAAGCGAATGGCCTGCTTCCCCAACTCTCCAGTCACCAGAGAGATCCAGTCTGCTGTGCGCTCCTCCCTGCTCTGCTAGCAAGCCTCTCTAAATCGGGCTGTCTCTAGTTGTGAGTCTTTTTCCAACAAGGACAAACCCCCAGTCTTCAAAATATCGCCAGTCAGGAATTTCAAGGACCACATAATCCCTCACCTTCACCTGACAGAAACCAAAAGCACATCCTCTTCGTCAACAGCGCAGAGAATCAACAAGTTACCACTTAAGCCGAGCGCTCCATCCTGAAATCAGTCAGAGCCTCCCCTGAGCCCACCACCAACCACCCCAACCCTGCTCCTGCAAAGCCTCCCAACCTTCGGCTACCGCGTGACCTTCTGTTCCAGTCCCGCCCCCTAGACGCTGGCTCCCCAGCAAGCGCTCCTCCCAGCGCTCCCTGGCAGCTGTCAAAGTCTGGGGCTCGCTGGCTTCTAGGTTCGCCCTGATAGCGCCAGCATTCATGAGAATCTTGGAGGGTTGGAGAGGTCAAGATCAATTAGAAAGACCAAAGAGGAGCTCCGGGCTCGGAAACTCGGACCCCTGGAGAAAAGCAGAGTGCGGCAGTAGGGACCATCATATCCCGCGCTTCTTCCGGACTCTGCCCATCATGAGGGTGTGCGTTCCCAGGGGACCCAGAGCCTGAGCTGCGGAGCCTGCGGAGCGCCCGGGTGCGGGCAAGGCTTTCAGATGCCTACAAGTTCCCAAGCCATCCCCAACCTGGAGTACCAGTCCTTCTCAGCTCGCTCCTCTGAAGATGCCCCTGGTTCTTGCCCCCAGGACAGGAGTAGACAGACACCTGTCCCCCGCCCCTCCCCCTGCCGCCTACAGCGCCCGTACCCGGGCCCTGCTCCAAGCATCTCTGAGCCGAGCCCGCGATGCTCCCAACCCAGCACACAGGGCCCCAAAGTTCTCTGCACTCCATAGACCTCGCCTTCTCCTTGGCGCCAGGACCCCGCCCAAAGAATGGACCGGAAAACCTCTTGGGTCCACAGCTAAGGGCTGACTTCGGGGACCTTGCGCGCGAAACCGAAGCTGCCACAGGAAAGGGTGGGTACTGAACGCGTAAGTCCGCGATTTGCACCCTCCAGCCCGCCTTGCCTGGCTCTTTCCTGGTGAGGAAAAAACTTCCCCAGCACCAACCTTTCGCCGCGAGGAGGCGGCGCCGCCGGCTGTCCCCGCCGTCGCCACTGCCGCTGCTGCTCCCCACGCCCAGCGCCAGCAGGAGCGGCACCAAGCACAGCCTCCTCGGCAGCATCCTCGCCGCCTGAGCCGCTACCGAGCTCCTGCCGCCGCCGCCGCCTAACGCTCGCTGCCGGTGTCCCCCTGTGCCCGCCACGGGTAGCCTCGCTGCAGCTTCTGGGTGAGCTACAGGCGCCGCCGCCACCGCCCTCACCCTCGGCCTCCGCTGCCCTCCGCCGCGCCGCTCGCTCGCCGGCAACAGCAGCACTCACTGGCGCGGACCGGAGCGGCTCAGGCGCTCACCCCGGGACGGCCCGTGACGTCACGAAGGGAGGGGGGTGGTTCGTGCATATTCATGAGACGCGGACATTGGCGCCGGGTTGTGTGCTCCTCCGCCTCTCAGCTCAGGCCCCCAACTTTCCACAGCCATCCCCAATGCCAGGCACTTGTATGATCCCCCTCGGTCAGGCGCAGGCTCCCAAAGGACCCTAAAGGGAGGCTCCAAGGAGCCTTAGGGTTTGGCGTCCCCGCCGCACCTCTCCAAACTGCAGCCGTGAGGTGCAGTGAGCTTCTCCACAAAGTGATCACCAGCGACCTGAGGATCTTCTGTAAGGACGCAGGCGACCCTATCCTGGTGTGCCCTTTGAACCGACCTCCCTGAGGAAGGGGCAGGATACTGTATCTCAGGGCCCTGCCCCTGGCTGTTGGTCTAGAAATGGACGCTCTATGCCGCCTGGTCTGGGGAGGGCGCCAGGCTCTCGCTAGAGCTGCAAAGCGCTGGTGCCTCTAGGAGTTGTAGGGCAGAGATCGCCTAGGACCTGCGTGGCAATGCCAGGCTCTGCGCCGTCTCAGTCACTGCTGGAGTCAGGGACTAGCTAAGATAGAAAAGGCTACCTTCAGTCTGCAGTGGGAACCACATTCAAACTTCCCCCTCAGAAGTTAAGACTTTTTTCCCACTGTCTTTAGAGCATGCCATGCCTTCTAAAATCTCAAGCCGGGGAGCATCGTCGTTGGAAGGTGGGATTCATACTGTTCTCCACACCTTCAAACACACTCGGGCTTCAAAAGGACCAAGACCGTTCCCAGCAAAACCAACCAATGGCTCACAATAAATCACTGGCTGTATTTCACTAGGTGTGCTATTTTCCCACAATTCAGGGGTCAGATGGAGTTGAGAAATGAAGTAAATAAAAAAAAAACATAGAAACAAACAAAATTATGCCTTCGTTCATCATTCATTCAAGACATTTCCTGAGCACTAAACAGATTATGAATCCAGGGTCGAGCAATAGAGGACACAAGGGTTTTTTCCCCCTTCTGAGAAGCCAAAAGGGGGATAGACACAGTTAAAGTCCACATGCTATGGTCCTAAACATTCTTCATGGTCCTAAACATTCTTCATGGTGTTGCTCAATGTGAGCCTTTACAAATCAATTACCCAAATGTGTATATTGCAACAGCGACTAGACAGCATCTCATAATTAATAAGTGTGGTTTAAAGCACACAAGCAAGCCATAAAATGCATTAAGAGCCTTCTGCCGCCCAGCCTCCCTGTGTGGTCCTGGCAGCACACCTGGGGCCCTGTGGTGGTAAAAGCAGACACTTCAACTGGAGGTGACAAGAGGTGCTTGGGAACAGCTGCGAAACCTGATGACCACAAGGGGCTCAGAGCTCACTTCTCCTGCAGGCCCCCTTGAGTCCACTGAGCAACACCTGTGCAATGGCCCTCATTTCATACGGGAGGGAAGTGGGGGCTTAGGAAAGTCAGGTTGCTCCCTTCCTCAAGGTAAAGAACTAGCAAGAGTCAGGCCAGCATCAAGACCTCACCCTTCTCGGATTTGAAAGTCACAATCCGGAGAATGGGCTGCGGAGGTGGACGCTGACGGCGGAGTCAGCGAAGCCAGTGATGAGAAATGTCTGTTTGACTAGTTTTCCGTCATTTGTGCTCCATCCAATGCAGCTGACATTTACCCCCTTCTTCACTCGAATAAGAACCTCCTTGCTGACTAAACACTATCCCTCGAGGCCTTGCGTTGACTGTTGTAAAAAATCAACTGGTCCCAGACACGTGACAGGAAGTTTCAAATCCAGACCAAATAATGAGAAGAAGAACATAGAACTAATTTCAAAACTCCCCGCAACAGAAAACGGCCAGGAAAGAGCACTACAGAGAAACACAGTAAGTAGGGACAGGGCACTTAAAAACAGGCCATCTGTGGCTGCTGTCCATTTCCGCTCCTCTGGAACAGGGGTAAGAACATTTTCCTAGATGAAGTAAGTGCTGTAAGAGTTTTAACCTAACAAGCTGTCGAGTCATGCCTCTCTGGAGCTGTTTCCCCGTGGTGACTCTCTGCTGCTCCAGCTCTGAGCTTGGCCACGTGGTTGGCTTTGGCTGGAACAGTCGCAGACTTGACTTTTTTTCTGTTTCTTGGACCCCTGCCACTGCCGTGAGAAGAAACTCATGCTGAACCTGCCGGAGGGTCAGAGACCAACACAGGGCGGAGATGAGCCATCCCAGACAGCCAAAACCACTCTAACCTGGTCAGCACAAATGATCCACAAGTTGACCACAGACACGCGAGCAAACTCAGGCAAGCGATCTTGGCTGATGCCAAGCCTGGCCCGCATCAGAACTGTCCAGCTGACAGCTGAGAAATAGAAATGGCTGTTCCATTAAGTCACTGTGTTCGAGAGTAATTGATTAAGCAATACTATAGCCACTGCTTAAGGTCGGTACAAGAAGGGAAAAATGAATGCGAGACACTCAATATGCTGTGCATGGCCAATGTTTAATAATACGAATATGTCTCCTTCGCCTACTTTCCAAGTCTCTGAAATCCCTGCCATAACCATGATTTGGCTTTCTTGGGCAGGGGAAAGACAAAATGACCCGGGTTAGAGTCAATGAAAGTCAGAAAATTTATCTTAACGATACTCAAACCGCAAGAGCTTCCATCCACGCCATGTGCACAGCCCTTCCACCGGTCCACTCCAGGAACAAGGATTCCGTCAAGCAACCCAGCAGCCAATGAATCCCATTCTCTCAGTGCTAGACTGGGTAACGGGGTTCTATATTTCCTGGGTCCTTTAATTCTTGCAACAGCAGTTGCTATTTCCCATGTTATTGTTGATTGCATTTCTTTTATTTATTTATTTGTTTATTTATTTATTTATTAAAGATTTCTGTCTCTTCCCCACCGCCCCCAATTAAGTTCCCCTCTATCGTCAGCCCAAAGAGCAATCAGGGTTCCCTGCCCTGTGGGAAGTCCAAGGACCACCCACCTCCATCCAGGTCTAGTAAGGTGAGCATCCACGAAACTGCCTAGGCTCTACTGAGACCTCAAGAACAATGGCAATGGATTTTTGTTGATTGCATTTCTACCTCCCAAAGTTTGAATAACTTGTCCTCATTCACATAATTGTGCAGAATATCAATTCGCATCTGCCTAATTCCACATCCCGTCTTTCCCTCATATGTGATGGTTTTGGGGAGAGGCACTGGAGACCAATAAGCAAGGAAAAATAGGTTCAGATCAGAAAAGGTAGCTTTGGGGTTTGACTTTTTAAAATCGTTTATTCTTCATCACCGCTGAGTAATGACCATTTAACTAACCAGTTATCACCCAAGCGGTGATACAAATCTCTGGGTTTGTGGAGGCCACGCTCCTTATCCTTGATTCATTCTTGTTCTCTTCAAGGCCTCACTCAAAATTTCACGAGCAGGATGACGTAAGGCCTGGGCTGCTGAAAAGCCTCGAGCCCAGGGCCTCACCTGCAAGGCAATAGTGAATCTCGGGCAATTCATCTGGGTCAATAGTTTTAATAAATAAATAACTCCTGTGCCCCAGAAAATAGAATCTAACAGGAACAGATCTCACACGAACACAGCCGTTCTCGCTCGTTGTCACTGTGGCCATTAATGCCTTGCCCAATTAAGCTCCAAAACACAGCCCCTGAATAATTGAAACTGAATAAATGAAGAAAATAAATAAATGATACCTGCTTATGGAAACTGATTTTTTAAAAGAAAATTAAGTGGAAACTTTCCACATGACCCACATATGATCCAGCTAAGAGTAAGTAACTTTGCAAGGAAGGCTGGGAAACTGATGTTCAGAAAACTAGAGCTGCATATGTTTCCCCAATTCCATCTCTGCAGGTAACACGGGGGCTCTGTGGCCCCAGAGCAACTAAGCACATCACTGTGTTTTCCACATTGCTTTGAAAAGTCTGATGCAAGGACAGTTACTGCTGCAATAGGAATTTGTTTGTTTGTTTGGTGGATGGGTGGGTTTTGTGTGGAGATCCTAGAAAGCCTTGAGTAAGTGTGTAAACAAAAAAAAAAAGGTTGAAATCTTGAGTGAATGTATATTGTTGACATGGACACAGTCATGTCAAGGACCCAACACCTCAGACCCATGGGAACGACAAAGCCTTCCCATCACCACAGGACAGGATAAGGCTTTGAGGGATGCCACAGCCTTCCTTTGGTCTGGGTCTAATGTGGCTGTGTGTAAAAAAAAAAAAAAATCTACCTCCTCCAAAATGTCTCCAGCCTGAGACTGCTGCCTGCGGATACCTGCTGCACAGAATTGCTAGCTCCCTCCCCTGTGCTGTGCACTACACACTGAGGATCTGGGCTGAGCAGTCAGTCCCACTCCATCAGGACGTGCATAGTCCACATGACCCCAGATTTTCTGTATACGTGTCTGTCCTTTCTTCATTGTTCAGTCACCTCAGTCAGCTCAAGTCCCATCAGTGATGGACACAGCATTTGGGTTGGGTTTGCTTGTTTCTGTTTTTAAGTCTACGTATTTCTTTTTAAGCAAAAGTAAGAAATTCTTGTTCACAACATAATTCAGTTCATGTTCAATGCTGTTTGGGCTTTGATGTTTTATGCTTATCAAGGAAGAATGTCCTGATCAAAAGGAAAAAAAGAAGAAGAAGGAGGAGGAGGAGGAGGAGGAGGAGGAGGAGGAGGGGGAGGAGGAGAAGAAGAAAAAAATAGATGTCATTCATTACAGTAGGACATTATTCCTAAACACTCTCCTATGTTCATATATATTATATACATATATATGTGTATATATACATACATATACATACAAATATATATGTATATCCTGTGGTAATTCCTGTGAAAACAGCCATATAATTCAGCAACACTTCTTTCACTGTAAGATAGAATCTCTGTCTCCTTCCTTTGGATCTGAGCTCCAACTTCAGTATTAGTGACATCATGTGTCTCGACAGGGCCAATCAT